TTTTGTTACATGGATGTGAAAGTTACAATAAAAAAAATGTGCCCAGTTTTTCCCCATTCCCTGTACTGGACAGTCCGTAATCAACACAGGCAATGTTCGTGCGGGTCTCCGCAGTCGGCGCAGGAGCCACTTGACGATCTCTCGATGCAGTGTTGTTCATCCGAACCTGCACGAAGCCGGAGGACGTCTTCACTTGCGCCTTGCTCGCCGTCACCACTTGTCATCATACCGTGGCACATTGGCATGACACGTTTGTGCCTTGGGGCGAGCATCCTTCGCGGGTAAAGCCTCAGCGGCGACTGCTTCCTCGACAGCACCGGTAAAAGAGACCTCTTTTTTTGCCAGTAGTCGCCGCTTCACTGTGTCATTCTGAAGCCCGAACATGAATCGGTCCTGTAGTGCGGTGTCAAGATCATTGAAACTGCAGTGTTGTGCCGTGGTCCGAAGTGCAGCGAAAAAGGCAGAGGCAAACTCACCCGGTGCCTAGTCGCGGCAGTGGAATTCATAACGCCGAGCCAGCTCTGGTGGTTTCAGCGTAAGGCGGTCCCGCAGTGCTTCAGGAATAGTTTTGAGTGGCGTATTCTTTAAGCTGCTCAGCGCCGCTAGCGCCTTGGCCACCTGAAAAGTAGTGAGACCACATCGGCTGAGAAATTTCACCCTCTTCTTGGCAGTGTCAGTAATGCTCTGTGCCTCCAAAAAGAATTCGAAGAGTTGTGCGTTTTCTTCCCATTCTTCCGGGTGGGTGATCTCGAAAGCCTCGATCCCATCTGCAGTGGCGGCCGTCATCGTGACGAGTGCACACCAGGGCTAGCTTTACTTTACGGCGCTGTCATGTCTGTTAACTTTCCGTCTATCCCATCCCCCTCGCCAGTGTTAAATAGCGTGGTTCGAATGAGGTGGCAGCGTAGGCACCAGGTGGTATCGGCAATGCACTGTTATTGCCATCTCGAAACCAAACACAAAACAAACCTAATTGGCATTACAGTCTTATATATATATATATATACAAGGTTGCCTGGTCGGGTGATTACAGGGTTGCTTGAGCAGGTTACACAATCTGCTGACTTTAGTGGCTGGCCTCACTATACAACAATGGCTACCTTTCTGGCCTCACATTTTATTTAAATATATCCGAATGTCCGTTGTACCGAAATGCATAGTAAACGAAGTTCGATCAATGGAACAAATAGGGTGGTTGGCATAATGACGCCAATTGGTATGTTGTATCCGAAAGTTTGTTGTAAGCAGATCCGTTGTAACGAGGTTATACTGTAACTTTGTTTCGTTGGGCAACCAGCCAACTTACTCTAGCGCCGAATGTTGCCTTGAAATAGAGGCTTCGCACAGGTTCGATTCTCAAAGCTGTGACATTTCCAAAAACATTTCCCATAGTCGTGGCAGAAGTGACTTGATGGTGGCTGTCTTTGTTTCATTTTCAGCCTCCACTCCAGCATACCAGGGTGCATTCCTAACTAATTTACAAGCGTGAAACAGTCTTTTGTGGTACCATCCTCCCGCACTGCTGCAGCAGACTTGACCTGTTAGGGCTAGTTGAAGGTAGAATAGGTGGTGGTAAAACGTGTATATATTCACAGAGCATTAAAATGGCCCCAACAAGGGGCGACTCTTTCTGCCCAGGCACCGAGTGAAAAAATGACACTCTGCTGGGCTGCGCACAGGAGTAGAAAAGCTGACACTACAGTCTTGGCAGAGCATTTGTGGGGTCAAGCCTCTTTAGCGCAGCCCAGAGAGGATTATGGCAGCACAAAACTGTGAAGTGAGCAACTTTCCCTGTTCCCCCTTTTTGCTTTGAGAGAGCTGGCCAGAGTGACTGAGAAGGGCTTTAGCTACAAAGAACGCGAGTTTACGAAAGCAATGTCTGATGGTGTAGTCTACTTACTGGTCCACTGCACATTGGTAAAACAGCAGAATCCGCAGCTGTCTGGCACAGTGCTGACGAAATTTGGGTGGTGTCTCCGAACATATCAAAGCAACTCATTTTGCACAGAGTGCCGAAGCACTCATGTCGTCCTTGCCAAGTCACTTTACAAAGAACTATTTATTCTTGTGTGCGATGGCCCTCTGCCCCCTGATCATGTATAAATATGTGTGCGTGCGAATGCCTGGCACGGCACCCTTTAACATGATGACCATTCAATGACCTGTCATCGCTGCGCTAGCTACAATGAAGCGTTAGCGCTCTTTGTAGGCAAGACAGACCCTGTCTAGCAACAGCTAGAATAGTTTAGCCCTCAAGTCGCAACAGCAGTCGCACGAGCAGGCGTCTTGGGAAAGGCGACAATGGGCAATGCACCACCAAAGCACACGTCACAAGACTGAGCAATATCGCACGATGAAGGCTGTGCAGCACGGTCTATACTAGACAGCACATACCTTCAACCTATAGAGGATTAATTCAATGCTTCGGAGCGCAAAGAAGGCAGACTTTATGGAAAGGTTAACATCTAGTTCGTGAACATCCACGTCGAACTTATAAGTACATCTCAAGGTACAAAACATATATTTTTACCTCCGTTTGTATGGTTGCATCTCTATAGTTTTCAGGCATTTCAGTAAGCTAGAATACATTTTATTTATCCCTTGTGGGTACATCCAAACAGTGCCCCAGAGTATGAGCAGTTCTTAAGAAGCCCTGGAAGTGCAGTTCTACGAAAAATAAACTGCAAGTTTTAATGCACTGCAACATTTCAAATATTTTGCTGCACCTATCAAGTGTTTTTGCGGAGTATGAACCACCCCAAAATCAAAAAAAGGGCATTTTAGTATCTGTATTGCTGAAGGTGTATTCAGAGATACTTATTTTGTTCTTTCACAAAGGTCTCTTTGAAATATCCCACTACATCAAAGACGACTGTAGTTCAGTATCTGTATTTTAGACTTCCAACACATGTATTTTGATATCTCTATTCTGGACTACATTATACTCTCAGTATTCGGAAATCCGTTCAACGGAACTGCTGCTTTAATGAAACAAATGCTTCCGACAAGACTGGTTTGGTTCTTGCATTGTGCAAAGCTCATCTCTCAGTAAACGGAAATCCTGTTCAGCAGAACACATTTTACTGGTCCCTTCAGGTTCTGTTTAATTAGTCTATTGTACTTTTTTTGGGTATCTCTGCCGATCCCTGGTTCTAGGCTATATTTGCCCTTGATATTTTGCAGATGTTATAAGTATGTCTTTACATACTACCAATCTCACTCATTATCTTGTTTTTGGTATATTTTGTCAGTGCATTTTTGCATTATTGAATATATTTGTTTATTATAACATAAGAGCCACCCAGATATGAAGGGAAGGTAACAGTATAACTTTAAATACTTTGTACACCTAAAAACATATGTAGGTGTGAATTACAGCACATACTTACTTTTTAACATGATCTCCAACAGGGAACTATAATTGTAGCACATGTATAACGGTGCATAAATGATGTTGCGGGTTTTCGTTTGAGTTTACGTACACAAAGTCATAGACTAATGTGCTATCGGTGAATATTGTAACACACACCCCTTACTTACTACATTTTAAGTTGCTGGCATTGCACGTGTAGATGCAAACCTCGCCAGAATGTCTGAGAGCATTCCAGATTATTTTAAGGTGTCATGCTTTAGGCATAAGCACACAAACACAAACAGCTGAGTTTATTTTCGAACAGTGATAATGCCCAAATGTTTTCAGCTGCAGATATAAATTTCATTTCGACGCAGCTTGCCACAAATCAGTTTTATCAATGACCGACTCTCTGTTTGCTGCTATCAGTGCACATGCAGTGTGCATTGCTCGCTTGCAGTTTAACTTTGCCTTCCAGCCACAAGCTTAGCCAAATAAAGAGTTACGTATTACTGTCTGTGCTGGAGTTTTCTGCATTGTCACAACCACATGAAAATATCATGAGTAGACAGAGGATTTTAGGCAAATGCCTGTTTTGTTCCTTGTGTTCTCATAGCCCCATTTCAACATATGAGCATGAATTAGAAGTAAGTATGGGTTTTTAAAGTGCCTTTAAAATGATTATTTTTGGCAATTTTGCTTACATGCTTCAAGTGACCATAAATGCTTACTTTCAATTTAAGTACCTGAATGAACAATATCCAACCTAAAGTTTCCGTTATGAGTACAGTTTAAGACATGTAGCCGGCCAACACTGACACTTTAGAAATCTGGCCATGGCGCAGATGACTTCAAAATCATGGAGATCTGCACATCGAAACGTGCTCTTGGTCGAGCCGTCCGGGAACGGAGTCATAAACGGATATGCGCCACAGACATTGGGTAAATCCCACAACTTACCCCTGGCCCACTAAAATGAAGGCAACAAGTTGCCCAACAATCAGGATAAAACTACCATAAATACACTCGCGGCGCAAAAATTAGGCAAGTGCCACTACACACAACTTACACTAAAAGAAGAAACGAATGGCCCATATTCTGTCACATGGTAATTTGTGGTTAGAATAAATAGCAGTGATGAGAAAGCATTTCAAGCAAAGGCTTTTTTGTAAATCTGTGTATCAGCAGAATGATATGGTCAAGATCCTCAAAAGAGAAAAATGAGAAAAAAGGAAGGCAGGGAGGTCATTATCCTCAAAGCTTAACAAATGGTATGGCACCACATGGTATCTGAAAGACTTGCATCTCAGGCCACCAGCTTCGCCGTTTTATTGGCGTCTGCAACGCGGAGCTGGTCGAATGTTTTGATTTGTACTACACTGTATACTGTAACGGTTTTTTCAACTTTTGTCAAAGTTTAGGCTAGCGCAAACCATTTGCACCACAAAATTAAAGACACGCCATCTACCAAGACCGCTACGAACAATTACATCAAACCTTCCCTGCCTTGCCTCCTCAACTCATAACCCACGCTACCATCGCTGGTGATTTCAATGTTTCCACAAGAAGCCTCAACGATTTGAGCCCAACCAAGTATGCTTACTATAAGTGCAACTTGCACACAATGGAGACAGAGTGAGTGACAAACCTCGAGCAGTCGTCGCTCGTAGTTGATGATGGTGTCGGCCAACACCGAGTTTGCCAGGGTCGGTGGTCCATCCCGCAGGTGGCTCGAGACATGCTCAATCAGCTCCCGGTAGTGGCCCAGCACCTACATTCATGATGCAAGTATACAGTAGTTTTCGGAATACTTTTTAAAGTAAAAAAAAGATTACTAAATTACAGTACAATCACGCAGGCTGCACTTGGTAAGTGAGGCATGTTTTCGCAAGCTTGTGTGGCCTTTGTAAACCTCACTGATGGTTACAGGTACACATGTGTGCTGTTCAAATGAGTTTTACTTCAATGCAGGTTTGATGACACATCTATGAACTGTACATTTCAGAGCAGAAGTTTTTTACCACGCAACTGATGATTTATAATGACCATGCCCAACTTATTTTTGACGGACTCATTTTCCTGCTTAGACAGTTTTCTTCTAGCTTTTCTGATGCTGCTGCCTTTCTTTTCTTCTGCCTCCCTCTTTTTGACCTTATCAGTATGTATCCGAGTTTTTTCGTGTGTTTTGGTCAGCTTTAATAGCTCAAAACATGGCGCTTTATGCTTTAAGGTAGCAACTTTTATCTTTTGTCATCTCATTTGTGGGTTTTCAACGCTAGGTCCTCAGGACCATCGTTTGCTTTTTTGTCATCCTCTTTCTTTAAGGCAGCATCTTCTATTGCAAGGAAAATTTTTAATTAATTTGTTTTTGAAGAGAGATGCCACTTGAAAAAAAATGTTTGTTTAATCTGGACCATACAACACTGAAATTTTTGCTCTTTACACAGGTTCTTATTCTGCTTTCAAATATGTAATCACACAAATCAGTTTTATAGCATTTTGCATAGCTTTTGTATTGTACCAGGACAATGCATAAAATATACCTCATTTTGAACACACTTACCCTGCCCCTAAGCTTTTATGTTTATGAATCATTAATGGTTCATATTGTTCCACATTAACTGCAGAATGCAAATAGCTAACTTATTACTAGCTTATTTGAAGTTCTAACTTGTTTGGAGTTCATATTAATTATATGAGTCATGACAGCTATTTTTTATTCATTTATTTGTTTGAAAACACATGACTGTCGTGGTGCAGGAGACAAAAGGCGACATTATAAAATTAGTCACATGACAAGGCCTCCAGTACCACACTGTGCATTCATCACACAGAGCAACTGCATTGGCAAAGAACAAAATAAAAAAAAACAAAAAAGAGCACAATGACATTGCGGAGTACTAGGAAAAAGCTTATACAAAATAAATAATACAACAAGGCTTAAAACATGGGTTACATTACACGCCGGTATCATTACAGAGCAAGTAAACAAGAGAGAATATATAGAGAGCTATAGTAGTGCAGGCACCAGTGCTCCATATGGGAGCATAAATACAGGTTTCGTACATGAATAGTCACAAGTGTAGGCACGTATAGTCAACACCGAATATACACCAAACTCAGATATATCGAACAGTTGAGAAATCTCCTTGAATTTCCCATGCAAAAAGTATGAGACCAGTGCACCCGCATAACTAACTCCCGCACAACAGGACATCTGCTATATCGCACTCTGTGCCGCGAAAAACTTCAGAAAGTGCATTTTCTCTAGCAAATATTGAATCAATCTTCGGCTGCGTTCTAACAAGCTCCGATCCCTGCGCGCAGGTGACGAAAAGGCGGTGTTATTCCATCGCGCTGATGTGGCTCGCTTCGCGGCGCTTCCCTTCTCCGACCCGGCCGCCAAACTCAACCCGACCGTGGCGCCCCTGCCTCCCCCACATTCGTGAGGGAACACGGCGACACTATCATCTTTAAACCGGTGGGGAAGAAAGCAAACTTCCCCGCCATGTCTCGTGACTCGATCGGGGCGTTCATCCCCGGATTCACCGCCACCCGACGTGTCCAACGCCACCGCGGCGGCGGACCCTGCGGAGCTCCTCTATGTTCGGCGGATCTAATCCGTGATTGTCAGGTCCAAGCTCCTCACGGACAGCACCTGCGTTGGAGTCGACGAGGACTTGGATGCCGCTGACATCGCGGCAAACATCGACTCGGCCGTTCCGGTCATCTCCGACGTCTCGTGTGTACGCCGTGGCAGGTGTGTCACCATCACCTTTGAGGAAACCACCGTACCAACGGAGGTTTTCCTCTTCAAACTGCGCAGGCCAGTCCGTCCACGCCTGTCCGGGCCTTCAGTGCGCCCGTTGCAGCCGTTTCAATCACGCCACGAAAACCTGCTCACGAGACGAGCGCTGCCTCCGACGCAGCGGCCGCCACCCCAAAGCACCGCGCCCTGCGGAGCAACCCTGCTGCATTAACTGCAGCGGTACCCATCCAGCCAACGAGCCGTGCTGCCCTTCCTGGCAGATCCAGCGCAAAGCCGACGTCATCATCGCCTCTTCAGATGGCCCCGTGACGCACCGTCAAGCCTTGGAGAAAACAAGGACTGCGTTCGTCCGAGCTCCCGCTGTGATTACGCCTCTGTCCCTCGCCTCGCCGCGGCGCTGACTGCGTCGTCTCACTTTTCCTTTCTCTCTCTAAACCACTTTGGGGGGGGGGGGGGGGGGGTGCTGCGCGTACACCTGGATACGAGCCCCAGGCACCACCGGATCGGATCATTACCCCATAGCCTTCTCCCCCTACCGCCCGAGTAGCGGGGCGAAGCGCGTGTACAGTGTCGTGAGGTGGCCTGTCTTTCACGTACTGTGCGCGAAACCATCGCTCGCCAGTGATTTTATCGCGATAGCAATTATATGGACTTGGCTGGATTTTTCTGCCGACGTCGGCGTCATTCACCGTATATGTGTACGTATCTATATATGTGAAAAAGCAAGAAATAAAAATAATTGAACGCGCAATCGAACGTCCGACCTCTGAGTTATGAGTGCAAGGCGTTAGCCGTTTCTCTTTAACTTGGTTCTAGCACCACTCATCAAGTGCCTTTACCAACAAGATGACTTCACTGTGCGCGCAGTCATGTACACGGACGACATCACCCTATATGTGCGCGGTCCCACACGATACCTCGCCAAAGCGTGTAAGTGCCTACAAGAGGCTGTTGCCGGTTTCCCGGACGCCATAGCTCTACGCATCGATCTCCAAAGCACAGGCACTCTTCACCCACCCGCGCACTAGTGAACGGCCCACCGCGCGCCCTGTCACACTCCACAGTGTTCCAATCCAACGAAAGACTCACGTCCGCTCCCTCGGTCTCACGATACACCACCGTCTTACGCGGAATATAGCAGTGAGCCGTGTGCGTCGTGAAACAAGCCATGTGAAGGGTGCCGTGCGGCGAATTCTCGCGCGAGAAACCGGATGCCCCGCCTCCTTCGCGATGAGCATGTGCGAGGTCATGGCGATAGCCAAGGTGCACTACGCGCTACTTCTGTACGTGTAGCTTTCACCCCCATACAGTTGCAGGTCATCGATGCTGAACATCGCCAAGTGCTCCACATGTGCCATGGACTACCACGCGGCTCGAGAGTCGCTGCCACACTTGCGGAAACAGGCGCCTGGCTAAGGAAGCCGCCACCAGACGGCCAGGATGGACCAGGACAACCGGTAGGACGCAGTTTTTGACTGACGCCTCCGTTCTACAGGACCACTCTGCCGCTGCTGCTTGCACGGCACCACAGCTGGCATTGAAGCGCCAATCCCGACTCGTATACCATTCCTAACCCACCAAAACCGAATTTGCAGACATCCACCTCGCTGCAGACCTCATCAGTGTAGTTCCGCAGGTCTCACGCACGGCTAGCTTCACGGACTCGAGATCTGCCCTCAGCCAGCTCGCCAAGGAAGACCGCGCACCCCCACTCACACAACGTGTCGCGTGGCCGCTACCCAGCCGACGCGATCAGTGCTGCGACGTGGTCCTTCAGTGAATTCCTTCTCACGTTGGCATTGCAGGGAACGAGGCTGCCGATGACTTGGCGAAGGCAGCACACGACCCTGCGGCTCCACTGTCAACGTGCGCGCACTCCGTCGACTTAGCGCGCCGAAAACTTCGGGCCTCAGCGCGAGTCACAAATCACCCTGACCAACATACGACCGCCGGCTCTCCACCAAGCCTTCTACCGGAAGGTACACTAACGAGAAAGAAACGCTCTCTCCGCTATACAATCCGGACCAGTTCAGTCTGGCCTGTTGATGCCGTTGTCAGATAGGAAGGAGACGCTACGCCCGGAGGCACTTTGTCCCAAATTCTCGCTTAATTAATCAGCCCATCATCACCAATATGTCTGTCCCGGCTTGTCCTCCGACATCACCTTTATTTGGCTAAAGCTAACTTTTGTTTGGCCTCCACGGTGCACCCTCGCCCTCATGCAGTGACTGTGGTAAAAGAGAAACTTTGGAGCATCCCCTCCTCTCCTTCCCGGCCATGTCTGTCCACCGTGAATCGCTCGCGCGCTCGTACAAGGATCTGGGACTGATGTCTGCCACAGAAAATGACATTCCCCACCCGGTACGACCATGATCCTACCGGGTAGACAATGTCACGCTGGATCTCCCCTCTTAAGGGCGAGATCAAGCGGCCATAGCTCTGCCGTGCGCGCATTCCTCAACTTCATTGAGGTTGCACAACTGGCCGCCCGCCTTTCAACCACGCCGACAAAGCCTTGAACTGACGGCAAGAAACTTCTGTTTTTTTTTTTTTACCGCCCAGCCCCCTGTCACCTCCCCCAATATCCTGCCATTCACTCCCCTCTAACTTTTCCCCTACCTTTTACCCTTCCCCCCATGTGTCGCGGTAGTGGTGTCCTCGCCTGAGAGACAGTTATACCCCTGTCACACATGGCAACTTATGTGCACTTTGAGCGAGTGTACTTACGCTGACGAAGTCCCATTTTGACCGTTCGCTGCTACACAAGAAAGTGAAGTGTATTTTGGAAATGATGGCAGAAGCAATTGACGGATTTGTAGCACAACGTACAATTGTTAATAATTTTGTGCCTGTATCGGACCACATTGTTTTTGTGGCAATAGCACTGTGGCAAGCGTCATCTTAAATTACTAGAGAACAACTTATCTACACATGTGCAAGTGTGCCTGGAAATAAACAACGCGACGGACGCAGTCATTGCTGTGGTTGCGCTGCTCCATTCTCCAAGCGGACATGGCCACATATTGCCCGACGGTGAGAGTAGCGAAGTTTTGGCCGTACTTTACGACTTGTTTTATACATAGCAGTATTCACCATAACAAAAAATGGCGGACCCTTAAGCTTCGCCTTTAAGAGTTGAACGCGATAGCGAATTCCAGTCCCTAGTGCGCCCTTCAACCATTAAGTGCATACTTATGAATGTTTTGTTACACACGCACACAGTAGATTGTACCAGCACGCGCGCGCGAATGGTACATACAGGATTTTGCTATGAAGCAAGAGTTGCATGACTTCCAAGATACACGCCGCGCACTCGCCATCTCGGAAGCCATAAAGAGTCTCACAATGCTACACAGATGGCAGCACATTATCTAGCATTTGCTAGATCAACACCTCTTGAAAGGCAAGATAAGTTTCCGCTAGATGTACATAGTTGTCCATTTTTAAAGCTGTTTAAAAGTTCCTGTGTGTTTTTAGCGGCAATGGCTGCATTATCTCAGCCTTTTTCTACGTAGTTTGATGGCCTCCCGAATGCGTCTACAAATCGCCGAATGGGCTCGTTTTCATCGTGACACCTGTCAAACAACATGCGTTAAGGAGATTCTTTACGCTACATGGCATTTATGTAGTGTTTTTAAAGACTATAGTCAATCTTAGGGGCCTTCGACTCCAAAGTTTTGGTCTGTCTCTCTATCTGTCTGACTGTACATTTGTCTGTTTGTCGGCGCTTACGAACCCCCTAATGGCACCAAACAGTACCTCAAATGGCCAACTCCATCCGCAGCGATCACCAATATTGCTCAAGTTTCAGCATTCATACTTGTGCGATTGTCAATCAAAAAGCAATTATTGCGCATATCTGAGGCACTATAACAACACGTCAATGTTTTAAAGGCACACACAAGTAATTCTAAGGACCGTGGCGTTTATCACCCTGCGCTGACAGTGCAACGCAATGCTCAAAAAGGCAAATGTTAGCAACGCTTTGCTAAGACGACACGGTGGTGGCACCTGCCCGACGCTTTGGGTTCTACACCTTATTGCCTTATGGCCTCATTAGAGCAAAACGAAACCGCGAAAGAAACAGCAAGCCAGCATTGCAAATTGAAGACGAAAAAAAAAAGAGGAAAAGAGTTGTTGAAGATTGTGCGAGTTATGCGCTGTACCAGTTCAAGAGCCCGCTCAACCCTCTGCTCTACCAATAAAAAAAGACGGTGGTGCATCCTATGCCATTCACCACATGGTGGGCAACCATGAAGCACGGTGTTAGCCCCTAGCAGCAATTCATGCCAAGCGTATAAGGACAGGAAGGCTTTGGGTGTAAGCCAGCCAAGTGAGCGCTCACTTGTCGCAGTCTGTTTGCGGCGGGAAATGACACGGGGGGGGGGGCGGGAGGGGGGGGGGGGAGAAGCGCTCAATCGGTTGACATTTACCGAGGCTGACTTCGCCGCTGCAGATTCGCTCGTGCATGCTTCCTGCAGGCTGCGCATCCCAGAGAACACAAAATGTACAACACCAAAACAGACATGCTTACCTTTCCGGCGAAACTGTCAGGCTTGCCATCCGCATAGTACTCGTACGATGGGAACGTGAAGCCTGAAGGCTCAAGCTGCAAAGAGGCAAGAAGAAGCCAAGTCCTGAATGTATGCAAACACGTGAATGCTTACAAGTTCCCAAAAACATTTAAATGAACAAAGTTGCGCACACAGTTAGTTTCTTTAGGGCACGATTGAAAAATGTACCGAGAACAAGACAAGCAATAAGTAATTAAAAAGTTTTTTGTTGGTTTTGCACAGCACTGGAGTGTACATAAACTGAATGCTGAAATGAATGAAAAAATATTGATAATTGGTGCACAAACAAAAAAGTTATTATTCCTCAAGATTGAAAATCCAAGCAGACAATGAGAAAAAACTTCACAGCATATCCACAGAGTGAATGATGATGAGTGGGGCGAAGCGTCCGTCCATCCACCCGTCTGTCCATATGTCCATCCATACGTCTGTCTGTCTGTCTGTCTGTCTGTCTGTCTGTCTGTCTGTCTGTCTGTCTGTCTGTCTGTCTGTCTGTCTGGCCGGTTACGCCTGACGCAAGACAAGGTTAGACTAAAAGGAGCTCCGCCCCTAAAACCAACAGTTTTGCAATTCACCCTGTCAGGGTGTACTTAAACTCACGGCACACCTTTCATAAAAATGCATCGGATAACGCACCTCGTGGTGCTAAAGTCCTTTCAAAAGGTCCAGACATCCTGTGATAGGCTAGTTGGCATCACGTGGCCTCCCCTGCGTGCTTAAGGGTCCGGCGGTGGCAGCGCTGTGCCGAAAACAGGTGTAATTGACTTCAATTTCAAGCGTGCAGTTGGACAATTTTAGCAATTACAGAGTACTTTACGCGCATTTGTCGCATTGCTGTTGCAATCTAGAAGCGCTTGGGCACCTGAAGCTGAGTAACGCGGAAGTTCTGTATTTGAAATGAACGAGTATGACGAATCTCGACGACTTCCGTTGCCTCACCGTGCGGAGGTCGGTTGCTGATCCTCCCACTGACAAAAGTATATGCTGAAGGAAGGTGTGACCCCACAAAATCAGTCACAAGAAATTTCCGCCCACAGAAGTTGTACACCCGGTTATGCAATGTGATTTCGTAATGTTCATCACTTCAAGCAGCCTTTTGCTTTTTAGCCATTACCTAAGCAACGTTGTTGTTGTTGGTTGGCATACTTTATTATTATTATTATTATTATTATTATTATTATTATTATTATTATTATTATTATTATTATTATTATTATTATTTATTCGGTACCCACAGAGCCAGAGGCATTACAGTAGGAAAGGGGATTACAGCAAGTCTGGAAAGTGCAATATTTGTCATACATAAAGCGTGGAAAATCGTAACAATAACAACAATAGCTACAGAAGATTAACAACATACGTAATCCAAAGCCGTATACAATATAATACAATATGCCATAGATTTGTAAGCAGAGAAAATGAGTCATGCCCGTATCTCAAACATGATGCACGCTAAACGCTCACAAGGACAGGACCATTTGGGATTGGTTTATTGCCACACGTTGACGTCTTTTGTCGCACAGCTGGACGCGATATCGATTAAGTTTTTTGTTGTTGTTGTTGAAGCATTGTGCGTGATCTTTCCCTAGAGGGCCACGACGCTTTTGGCGAATTCCAGTAGGTGAAAGTAAGTAATAATACACGGCACTGAACGAAAAAAAAAATACTTATATCATATAGCATGCCACACCAAGCCTTTCAACTGATTTGCCAAGGCGGAAGCAACGAAAGCCACCCTGCAAGTAGCATCAGTGCTCCCAAGAAACCTTGAAAAAAGCAAACTTCATTATGAATTCATGCAATAAAAAACCAATTGTTCAATAAGTGATCTTGTATACACTTCATCCCTAAAAAATGCCACCTAACTCAGCTTTTCTTTGTGACCTGTATAGGTGTATACTGCAGTAACTTCAAATTTACTTACAATTGCACTCAATGTAGCGTTACATGCGCGAGATACGGAGGTGGCGGGGGCAGTAAAAGAGGGACCGCTTTGGATATATCTGAACCTGTTCCGCTTTATTAAGTTATTGTTGAACTGTTTTTAGAAAAAAACGTACATTTATAAAAATGTACAATTTCCAAAACCAGTTAAACATTAAAATGCTATATTTCTTAGATTTTGCAAGGTACTCTGGTTCCTGATATTCCACACACGCAGGGCTGCTCTTTCTCCTAAAAAAGCTTTGTCGCCTGTGGCCATGCCGACATAGCGAGAAAAACGAAAAAGACGCGGGCATTACCTTGTCGTTTTCGTATCCTAACGGTTCAGACATTTCTGAAATTTTATAGCTATGCGCCAAGACGATCTTAATATACTTTTATAAATGATCCAGACACCTTTTTTTCTTGCCCATTGGCCACGGTTTCGAACACCTCAAATTATTTTTGTCCAGAAACAAATAGATAGGATAAATGTAAAAATTCCAGATGTGATTGCGGCGCAGGTTAAAATCAGAATCTTAAGATAGAACTCGATGAATTTTCTCGTCTAAGCCAAAATTACAATCCTATACGGTCTTAAATAGCCGACCGCAGGATTACCGTGCACACGAAGAAACTAATAATATTATAGCCACAGATGCTTCAGTAATGGACGAAAAGACAGGTGTAGATATATACTTCCATTCGCTTGACTTGTCTTTTCATTAAGACTACCAGATTTCACCCCCGTTTCGGAAGCTGAACTGTTGACAATAGTTCTAGCACTGCCAAAGCTACCTTTGAATGCCTATAATGCGACCATAATCACGGATTCCCTGTCAGTATGTACGTCGTTACGGCGTCAACAGAATCGATGGCCTTAAAGACGGCCCTTATTCTAGTCCCTCCTTAGCTGCAGCTACTGAAACTAGTATGGGTACCTGGTCATTGCGGCTTAGAAGTAAATGAAATTGCCGACTCTCTAGCACAAGCAGCATTGGAAAGGCCAGTACTATCAGTTCTTCTCGAAGTGGCCACTATAACTGCGACGAGATACAGAAAACTTTCGCTTCGTGCAGAGGCTATGGAAGCAATAATGTCACACCAAAATTTACTCACTTAAGATTTCCGTGGAAAATTCGTTGGAGTCTTACAAGACAGTTGTAAGCCATAATAACCAGATTTCAGTGTCTTGTCCCCCCGTTAAATTTTTATTCACATAGGGCTGGTCTGGCGATATTACCGCTATGCAACCTTTGTTCAGAATCAGAAACAATACAGCACTATTTTGTATCATGTCGCTCGTACAAATTGCTCGGAAAAAGATTTTTAATCATCCCATTCGCTAGCCTGGGGCTGAACTTCACAATAGAAAGTATACTTTCCTTCGGTGCATCAGATCTGGGCTTCAGCCAAGAGAACATTTTTTATGCAGTTTGCAAGTACCTAATGAAACTAAAAAAATTTAGCTTTTAATTGCATGATCATTGTTCCTGCAGAAACATTACAACATAAACAGGAGTTTTGTTTAACCACGCTAATTCCTATCCAAGGCAATGAATGCATTTTCTGATCTGAACGAGTGACAAATAATTATTGCACTCTTTCATTCTACCTAGGGTGTCTTTTTTCTGGTGGGGGGGGTATAGATACTGAATATGAAAAAAAAAAAGTCTCGCTGAATTAAGTCATCGATTCTTGGCCGATCCCTCTGATGGGGTACGAGCCACGGCTGTGTATTACTCATCATCATCATCACAATAAGGCATTTTTTTTTTGTCAGCTTGGTTTTTTTTGCGCTCCGATTACCTGATTTCGCGCCAATTTATCTCGCAGAATTCCTGGCAATCACATTGGCTCTTCGAAAACTAAGTTCATTCATCCATTCATTCATTCATTCACTGTTTATTCAGACAAAAACAATGATTACCTAGGTTGAAGGGACTAAAGGCATAGATTACCTCTGCCTGACTAAGGTCCCTCCACCCATACATTTGCTCAGGTGAAGTGGAACAAAGGATACAAATTTCATTCTGCTTTTGAATGAGGGGACACAAAATTCAAATTCAGCAAGTATAACAAATGTCGACACATACGTTTTAAAATAACACATTACAGTCATCACCACTTTGCAGTACCAATATATATATATATATATATATATATATATATATATATATATATATATATATATATATATATATACATATAGATGCAACAAGGAGAAATTTCTGACAGAATCACCAAGTACCATAGAGAAATACATTTGAAAAGAAAGAAATTGAGCAATTTTTATCTAATATGCAAAAGCACGAACGACGAAAAAGAAATATTTATAATAAATATTACAATTAAGGCTCCTTACAATCACTTCTCAGCAATCAAAAGCTATTATTATTTCGGATGCCTTGACTGTTTGTAGGAATTCACCTCCCGCAAAGCATTCTTCTTTTCTCAGGATATTTTGGTCTCTCGCACCGCATAGCATATCAAAAGTACTGTTTTTTTGGGTTCCCGGGCATGCTGGAATTTCACTAAATGGAACTAAAAATAAAAGGGCCTGGTGTGTTACCGCCTGGCTATTGATCGATTAATTAAAACAACTTTATTGAGGTCCTGCGGGACGCGCCCTAGCAAGCAGTGCTGGGCCACTCGCACATCGGGACAGCCAGGCCAAGACTGTCTTCGTGAGCCTGCTAGACAGCCCAAACTGGTTGGCCAAGAGCGGGCTGCCGATGGCCGCCTCCCGCCAGGCCATTGAAGGATGCGGGCTTGATTGAAGGCCCCCCCAGTGCGTATGTGCTAATGTGAACTTCTTCCCGTATGCTGTGCACGCCTCATCCAGATAGTTATCAGGGTATATTGCATGCAGTGTACAAAGATTCGTGTTCGTCTCCATCTGTATAGAAGTCTAAACGCAAGCGCCTGAGGTCCATTAAGTTTCGAGTGACGAGGAGGGTACTGTTTCTATAGTGAACTAGATATCTAGTTTATCATACTGTTTCTGCGCAAACTTCTTCGTGATTTCATTGTATGTAGGCGGGAGCGCGCCTTCCGCCCTAGAGATACTGTATAGGCTAAACTCTATTCCGTCCGAAGCATCGTCTTCGTC